GAACATACAGTGAGGTTACATGTGATACGTCGTCGCCCAGAGCGACTACACCCCCAATGAAGGTGAGCCCAAGGTCACAGACAAGCGCAGTGGTGACACAGCAGAATAACAGCAATTTACAGTACTATTCAACAACGACATCAACAATAGTTTTAGATATATAAGTTAACATGTAAGTTAATAAACAATAAAATGTCATATAAATACGTCAATATGTCAATATGTAATACATATATCGTCATGTACGTCATTATACATCAATGTATAATATGTCAATATATAAGACAAGTTAGTTGTAGATACAGTCAATACGACTTTGTGTTCGACTGTGTTGGTGGGCACACATAAATGTCTGGGCAGGACTCGATGTTCCACTTCGATATTTCAAATCCGTTTCAGCATTATAACAATGCAATGCGAATACGACACGATGGCAAACAAAACCCCCAACAGCAAATCCTGGCACCCGCGACACGATTCGCGCTTCACAAATCACTCTCTCATCGCTAACATCAAGCTGGGAAAAAGACGGACCGCGGGTTTACTGAAGCACACTCGTTATTAACCTTCCTCTCTCGTGCCTCTCTCGCAGGCAACGAGGAGGGCGTGAGCTTCCTCACCTTCCAGAAGGGAGACCTCGTCGTTCTGGACGAGCCCATGTGCGAGGACAACACGGGATGGCTGTACGGGCTGTGCGTGCGCACAAAGCAGAAGGGAAACTTCCCGGCAGACGTCACCTACATCCTGCCTGTGCTCACGATGCCACCCGCCGAGATTGTCGTACGTATCGTCGCCACGGCAACGCGTCGCGAGGGGTCGATTGCTGAGTGCGATCCGTGCGCGTGCGGTGTTGAGGCAACATTCGTAGATTTTGTACTACAACTTTTTATACGTAACAAGTTTATAGTCTAAGTAAATTAAATTAGCGTAGGTATCTTGTGCTTTGGCTCGTAGCGGGAGAGATGGTAAACACAACTCCTAACCCTTATCATAAACCTGACCCTAACCCCAACCTTAACTCTTAAACGCGACTTTACCGTTAACCCTAGCACTATGACTATCACTGCTGCCCCTGCCGTGTACTCGTCTCGCTCCTCTGCGGCGACGTAACGACGTGTATCTCGTTATCTCGTTATC